GCTGCTCTTCCCACGTATTATGTCTCTAATCGTCCCTCCTCCACATGTTTCGACGCCGCCTCGTGGTCGCTCTCCTGCCAACGACCTGACTCTGAAGAGTGACGCCGCATATGTGAAACATCTGAGTCTGGCCCGACGTTGATTTGGCGAAACGTTCAAGGGCATTGCGGATCATTCAATGACGGCTTTTGTATTGAGCGATCCGATGTATATTCGCCACATGCTTAGAAGGGTTGGGTACGTCCCCGGGTAATGTCGGTGTGATTCCAGGTTGCCCACAATGCGGAATCCTGGGGAAACCGGAACCACTACAGAAATTATACCTTTCCGTGGTGATTCCAAGTTTCCCGTAATTCGAATGCCTCATTTGGGAAGACGGGCGGCAGCAGTGTCCCGCAATGGGGAAGGTTCCCCGCAATTCGAATTCAGAATCTCGAGAAACCAGGGAGGCGAATGCGCTGGGGGGCTCGGATTTCAGGATAACCTGAAATCGCCACAAAACAAATGACCCGGCGAAGGGCCCAACCATATGTAGTTGTGCGTCCTCGGTGGGTGCCCCCAGTATAGGTCGACGAAACGTTCTACCGGGCGGGGGAGACGCATGCAGGCTGCAACACAGGGACATTCGGTGAAGCTCCCTGCGAGGCCACGAATCGCTGTACTGCGTGTGGGAGACGCATGCGGGCTGCGCCAGTGGAACCGTCGGTGGAGCTCCCTTTGGAGCCACGGAATGGTGTACTGGGTGGGGGAGACGCATGCGGGCTGCGCAACTGCGACCTTCGGTGGAGCTCCCTACCGGGCCACGAAGAGCTGTAATGGGTGGGGGGGCGCATGCGGGCTGCGTCTCTGGAACCTTCGATGGGACTCCCTACGGGGCCACGAAACGCTGTACTGGGGGGGAGACGCATGCGGGCTGCGCCACTGGGGCCGTCGGTGGGGCTCCATATGGGGCCACGAAACGTTGTACTGCGTGGGGGAGACGCATGCGGGCTGCGCCAGTGCAGCCTTCGGTTGAGCTCCCTATAGGGCCACGAAACGCTGTACGGGGCGTGGGAGACGCATGCGGGCTGCGCCACTGGGACCTTCGGTGGAGCTTCTTATGGGGTCACGAAACGCTGTACGGGGTGTGGGAGACGCATGTGGACTGCGCCACTGGGACCTTCGGTGGGGCTCCCTATCGGGCAACGAAGCGTGCACTAGGTAGGGAAAAAGCATGCGGGCTGCGCCTCTGGAGCCTTCGGTAAGCTGCTTGTGGGGCCACGAAACGATGTACTGGGTGTGGGAGACGCATGCGGGCTGCGCCACTGGGACCTTCAGTGGAACTTCCGATGGGGCCACGGAATGGTGTACTGGGTGGGGGAGACGCATGCGGGCTGCGCCACTGGAACATTCGGTGGGGCTCCCTAAGGGGCCAAGAAACGCTGTACTGGGTGCGGGAAATGCATGCAGACTGCGAAACTGGAGCCTTCGGTGGATCTCCCTATGAGGCCGCGAAGCGCTGTACTGGGTGGGGGAGACGCATGCGGGCTGCGCCGGTGCAGCCTTCGATTAGGCTCCCTATAGGGCAACGAAACGCTGTACTGGGTGTTGGAGACGCAAGCAGGCTGCGCCATTGGGGTCTTAGTTGGAGCTCCCTTTGGGGCCACGAAACGCTGTACTGGGTGGGGGAGACGCATGCGGGCTGCGCCACGGGAAACTTCGGTGGAGCTCCCTATAGGGGCAAGGAACGCTATACTGAGTATGGGAGATTCCCTATGGGGCCACGAAACTTGTGAGGGGTGTGCCAAAGTGAGGGGGGTGACGGGAGGAGGGAGGAGGGGGAGGAGGAGAGGAGAGAGGACAGAGGAGAGAGGAGAGGAGAGAAGAGGAGGAGGAGGAGGAAGAGGAGGAGAAGGCACGCGGGGCGCTGTCTCTTCGAAACGAGGACCCAGCAAAAGGTTGGTTGGGAACAAATGTTGTTCGTAGTGATGCCAGGTTTCCCATAATTCGAACTCCAGGTTTCCCGGAATCGAGATATGGAATACCTGGATTTATCACAAAAACCACGGAGGTCGTGGTGATTCCAAGTTTCCCTTCATTCCGAATCATGGGACACCTGGAACACACAAAAAACTGGGTTCCGTGGTGAGTCCAGTCTTCCCATGATTTGAACTCCAGGTGTCCCATAATCTAGGGACACCTGGAATCACAACACAAAAGGGGGGCTCGTGATGATTCCAAGTTTCCCATAATTCGGAATTGACACCGTGAATCACCACACACAAAAATGCTGTTCGTAGTGATTCCAGGTTTCACCAAAGTTCGAATTCCAAGCTCCTCGTCATCGAATTGTGGAAAACCTGGAACCACCACAACAAAAAACATGTTCGTGATGATTCTGGTTTGCCCATAATTCGGAATCATGGGACACCTGGAGTCATAAAAGACTGGTGTTCGTGGTGATTCCAGGTTTCCCAGAATTTCAACTCCAGATTTCCCATAAACAAGGGAAGCCCATAAACAAGGGAAGCCTGGAATAAAGGGGAAAAAGGGGAGGGTCGTGATGATTCCAAGTTTCCCATAATTTGCAATTATGGGACACCTGGAATCACCACACACAAATTTGTTGTTCGTAGTGATTCCAGGTGTCACCAAAATTCGAATGCCGGGCTTCTCGTAAACGAATTATGGGAAACCTGGAACCACAACAACAAAACACTTTTCGTGGTGATTCCAGGTTTCCCAGAATTCGGAATCATGGGAAACCTGGAATCACCACAAAGAACAGGTGTTTGTTTGTGGTGATTCCAGATTTCCCCTTATCGATTGATGGGAAACCTGGGACCACAACAAGTAATTCTACCCTCCAAAGGGTTCTGTGGCAGTCGTCTGGCCATTGGATTCCCAAAATTCGGAGTTATGGGAAACCTGGATTAACCACAAAAAAACAATTTTCGAGGCGGCTCCCCATGGGAACCTCTACGAAATAACTGTCATTTTTGTGGGTGATGTCATGCTACCAAAAAGATTCCCAAAATTCGGAGTTATGGGAAACCTGGCTTCACCACAAAAAACAATTTTCGAGGTGGCTCCCCATGGGAACCTCTACGAAAAAACTATCATTTTTGTGGGACTGTCATGTTACCAAAAAGATTCCCCAAATTTGGAGTTGTGGGAAACCTGGATTCACCACAAAACAACAAGTTTCGAGGTGGCTCCCCATGCGAACCTCTACGGGAAAACTATCATTTTTGTGGGGCTATCATGTTACCAAAAAGATTCCCAAAATTCGGAGTTATGGGAAACCTGGCTTCACCACAAAAAAACAGTTTCGAGGTGGCTCCCCATGGGAACCTCTACGAAAAAACTATCATTTTTGTGGGGCTGTCATGTTACCGAAAATTCACAACTATCGGAAACCCATAGACGGACGACTGCCGGTACCCATCCCCTGCCCGACCCGGCCCTGCCCGCCGTCTGCATCGCCTGACCACGCCGACCCTGCGGAGCTCCTTCCTCCGGTCCCTGCCCGACGCCCCACGTCGGCCAGGCGCTTCCATGAGGTCGAAGTCGCTATCTGTCCGACAACTTGCGTGCTGAGCTGGAAGTCATGGGATAGTACGGCACCGTCGCCGACCCCCAAGGTGAGGCAACGAGTGGCTTAGCGGGCGAGCGCACGGCCAAGCTCCTATCTACTGCCTGCCGTGCCGAACACAGCTTTGCATTGGGCCTCTGATCGACTCCGGGGGTACCCTGCGCCCACTGACGGCAACAATCATCGCGAGCATCCTCATCCAAATCATAATCACCGCAGTCATCATTGCATCAGCGTCCCCATCACCATCACCACAAGCACACCCATCATCAGCATCAGCATCACAATCATCGACTCCACCATCATCATCGGCATCACCGTCACCATCACCACCATCATCATCATCATCATCAACTTCATCATCGTCATCAGCGTTGTCGTCGTCGTCGCTGTTATGATCCTCACCATCACCATCACGAGCTTAAATATCATTACTAAGTCCTTGAAACGCAGTCAACAATTTTATCATGACCATGATCGTCCGCCTAAACATCATCACCACGATCGTCATCATCAGCATCAGCATTTACATCGTCATCATCATAATCGGCATCATCATCATCATCAGCAGCATCATCATCATCGTGCCTATGATCATCACAACCATAATCAGCATCATCATTGTCATCATCATCAGTACCCTCAATTCCACCACCCTCACCCTCACCGCTGCCATCAACATCATCATCACTAACAGCAATAACATCACATCAGCAGCATCGTCATCAGCATCATCACCATCATTACCATCATTACCATCATCATCATCATCAGCACCATCATCAGCACCTTTATCACCATGACCATCATCATCATCATCATCATCAGCATCATCATCATCAACATCGTCATCGTCATCAGCACCATCGCCATCATCACGATCAGCATCAGAAGCATCATCATCGTCGTCATCCTCGCCATCATCGTGACCATCATCGTTATCGCAATCGTCATCATCGACTTCGTGATCCCGCTCTTATCCTTCTCCTCTTCCCCCTCATCCTCCGCCTCCCTCCTCCTCCACAGCATCCTTATTGACCCTCTCATCTTCCTGCGGCGGACGAAATCTGATTGGCCGCCCGCTCGACGTCCGCTGACCATCTCCAACAACGAGACATTGAAGAAGGCCACCACGTCGTGATCTTCCTCCTCCCCCTCCTCCTCCTCCTCATCTTCCCGTACTCCCTGGACCTATCCGTAAAAGTTGTTTTAGAGGCCCGAGTCGAACACGGTGCTTTTGTAGACCAGGTTGACTGTTCCAATGTTGTCTGATCCTGCTTTGTTCGGCCTGGCCGACCTGATCGCAAATCCGTCCTCCAGCACTGCCAGAACCTGCGGGTGGATGGCCGAAGACAGATTACTCCCCTTCTACATCTTCCTCCATGTCCTCCGCCGGCCGCACGAGTTTCCCGTCTGCCCGGGGCGCATCTGCTTCGAGGCGGCCCTGTCCAGCTGGGGCCTCAGCGCCACCTGCGACTCCTCGACCGACTCGAGGTGGCGCTTGTGCTGCTGGTCCTGCTCCCCCGGGGGCGAGACGGACGAGCGCCGGGCACGCGCGCGCTCCACAAGGGACACCCGCCCCGCCTGCCCGGGCACCGCGCGGAGGCCTTGGCCCCAGCACTGCAGGTCGCGATCGGCAGGGAGAGGAGGAGAGAGGAGGAGTAGAAGAGAGGGAGGGAGGGAGGGGACAGAGGAGGAGGAGGTCGAGGAGGAGGAGGAGGAGGAGGAGGAGGAGGAGGTAGGAGGGAGAGGAGGGCGAAGAAGGAGAAGGAAGGAGGGAGGGAGGGAGGTAGAACGATGAGGAGGAGAAGAAGGATGCGGACGAGGGTGAGGGTGAGGGAGAGGGCAATAACGAGTGAGGGAGGGGAGGCGGGGGAAGAGGATGAGGGAGGAGGAGGGCTGCGTCTCCTGGAGCGCACTCGGCTTCGGACTGGGGTGGAGGAGGAGGAGGAGGAGGACGAGGACGAAAAGAACGAGGACGAGGAGGAGATAACAAATTACCCCAGTGCGACCCTACATAGAAGTTGGAGCCCCTAGGAAAGCAGCATTAGTTGCTATGCTATGCTATGCTATGCTATGCTATGCTATGCCATGCTATGCTGCGCTATGCTATGTTATGCTATGCTATGATATGCTATGCTATGCTATGCTATGCTATGCTATGCTATGCTATGCTGCGCTATGCTATGATATACTATACCATGATATGATCTGCTCTGCTATGAGATGTTATGCTGCGCTGTGCTATGCTGTGCTATGCTGTGCTGTGCTGCGCTATGCTATGCTATGCGATGCTATACTATGCTGCGCTATGCGATGCTATTCTGGGCCATGCTATGATATGCTGTGCTGCGCTATGCTATGCTACGCTATGCTATGCTATGAAGTGCTCTGCTATGATAAAGCTCAGCGAAGCTAAGATGAAGGTAATACAAATTAAGATAAACCTGAGCTAAGATGGAGCTAAACTAAGCTAAGATGAAACAAGCTAAGCTAAGATGAAATAAGCGACGCTAAGCTAAGGGGACGTAGCTGGGGGAACCGCGGGGCGGATACCGGGGAAACCGCCCGGGGCGCTTTCCACTGGCCGGCCCCTTTAAGCCCAGAGAGTAAGAACCCTTCTAGGCAGAGCCTAGGAAGGGAATAATGAGGATAATTAATGATGGGGAGAAGAGGAGAAGTAAGATAATTAGAGGAGGCGGGTAAACAGGAGGAAGAGGCCTGTAGGGGAAAGAGGAATCGAGACGGAGGACGAGAAAAGAAGGGAGCAGGAAGGGGAGGAGGGAGAGGAGAAGGACTGTAGACAGGACAAATAATGGGGGGGGGGTAGAGAGAGAGAGAGAGAGAGAACAACAAAGAGAGAGAGAGAGAGAAGGGGAAGGAGGATGAGGAGGAGAAGAAAGAAAAGGATGAGGAGGAGGAGGAGGAGGGGAACGGAGGAAGGGGATGGAGGAAAAGGAGGAATGATGGAGGAGGAGGAGGAGGAGGAGGAGGAGGAGGACGACGTCGACGACGACGACGACGAGGAAGAGGACGACGACAACGCCGACCGCGAGAGGACAGTGACGACGACAACAGCAGCAACGACGACGACGCGGCAACGAAGTGCGGCAACGAAGTGCGACGACGACGACGACGACGACGACGACCGCGACCACGACCACGGCGACCGCGAGAGAGCAGGGAGGGCCCGGCCACACACACACACACCAGTGGCCATAGGCAAGAATGATACTTGCCGCGCGGCCTGTGCATCGTTGCGTGTGGTGCGAGCAGCAGAGGACTGAGTGCTCGAGGCTTGCCCCGCCCCTCCCCCCCTGCGCTCTCCCGAAAGCCGTGCACCAAACTTTGCTGCGCCGCGCTCGGAGGGCCTTTTGGTGACCAAAGGTCGCTCCGGCGCAGGGCCGCTCCTTGCGCGTGGCCGACTCCTTCTGCAGACGTCTCCTAGATGGGGTCGGAGTAGATGGGGTCGGAGGATAGCGCCGCAGCGCCGATGCATCGGCGACGCCATCGAAGAGAAACTCGGGCCCCACATCGAGCCACATCGCCGGTGCATCGGCGATGCAGCACGATCATCCGACCCCCTCTTCTCGGACCCCATCTAAGAGGCCTAGATGATAGGGGTCTGGCTCTCGGGTCCTACTCGGGCCTCCCGCGGCCGCTCTGGGACGAGTCGGGCACCCCCGGAACGCGCTCGGCGGGGAGCAGCTCCCGGAGCGCATCCCGAGGCGGGGGAAGCCTCCAGGAGCCGCCGAGCAGGAGCGAACCGAAAGCCTTCTGGGAAGCGCCCCCCCCCCACCGCCGAAAGCCGCGCACTGGAGGGCGCTTCTTGGCGGCGGGGCCGCTCCTGCGCGCAGTGCAGGGCTGGCGGCGTGCCCAGGGGAGGCAGGGCAGCGGGGTGGTGGGGCTCTTCTGAGAAACCTCGCCCCCTCTGCCTTCCCCTCCTTTTGTTGTTTGCTTAAATGAATATTTTGGAGGGGGTGTAGGAGGGCAGAGGAGAGGACGCGAATCAACGATGAGCAACGCCCCTCTGCCTTCCCCTCCTGTCGGGGGCGCGCAAGCATGGATCAGCGATCCGTGGATCTGGCGCGCGGTCGCCAAATCCATGGATCGGGGGAGGTGCCCTCCCCAAACTGCGGCAGGTGCCGCCTTGCTCGGCGGCGAAAATCCGCGATGTTCCATGGAAACGAAGCCCGTCGCTAATCCACGCCCCCTTGATCCATGCCTGCGATCGCCTGATCCTGGTGGGCCTGTGCGCCTTCTGAGGATGCCAGCGGGCCTTTTCCGAGGAGCCTCCAGCCTCCTGAGGAGCCTCCTGGGCCCCCTCCGAGGCGCAGGCGGCTGCTGCTCCGAGGCGCAGGAGGGGCACTCCGAGCAGCCCCGCCGCCTGCCGGGACGCGGCCTGCTCCCCTTTCGCCTCCCCCCTGGGCCGCGAGGACCCCGCAGCTCCTCTTGTTCGGATGGTGGTGCCCCTGGGGACCCCGACGAGGTGCGCCAGGCGCGCCTCCAGGGCGTCCAGTGTGCCCCGCCGCCTCGCGCCGTGGCGCTCTCCCTCCGTGGACGAGCGGGGACGAGAAGGGGAGGGAGGGAGGAGGGGGAGGAGGGGGAGGTGGGGGAGGAGGAGGAGGTGAGGAGGAGGAGGAGGAGGAGGAGGAGGAGGAGGAGGAGGAGGAGGAGGAGGAGGAGAGAGGAGGAGGAGGAGGAGGAGGAGGAGGAGGAGGAAGAGGAGGAGGAGGAGGAGGAGGAGGAGGAGGAGGAGGAGGAGGAGGAGGAGACGGCGCCGACGGAGGGCGCGCGCCCCCGCCCGGCCTCGCCGTCCACGCAGGTGGCGATCAGCTTGCCCCAGGAGGACTGCACCTGGGGGCCCGCCCGGCTGCCCTCGAGCGAGGCCCCGGGCCCGCCCCTCGCTCTGGCGTGAAGTCGGGCGCGCCCCCCCACAGGGGGGTTATTGGGGCGAAACATAGAAACTACTCCAAACATGCCCCCCCGAATGCTCAAAGGTAGTCAAAAAAATCGACCCCAGGCTATCTTTTGACTATTTTGGAAGATTCCCCCCTGTAGAGGGACGGGCCACGACTTCACTCTGGCGCCGCAGCACAGCTGGCTCTCGGCACGGGCTGGCGCGGAGGGGTGCTTCGAGGGGGAGAAGCTGGTCTGCTGGTGTCGGCCCCGGGCGGCCCTTCCCCGGCCCCCGGCGGGGCCATCGAGGGCCGGCTCGGCACGAGGAGCCGGTCCCGGGCGAACGGGACCAGACCTCCACCCAGACCTCCTCGCGTCGTAAAAAAATCACGACGGGAGGTTTTTGGCTATCTTCGGCCCCTGGGGGCCCTTCCCGGGCCTCGGAGCCGTCAAAAAACGACGCAGGATGAAGAACCGGTCCCGGGGCAGGGGTCCAAACCTCTTGGGGTCGACGTCGTGAAAAAATCACGACGTCGGAGGTCTGGGCATGGGCCCATGTTGCGGCCCAACCATATGCAGGTGTGAGCACCGCAAGACGGGCGGAGACGAAAGGGAGGGGCTGGCCAAAGGACTGAGGCGTGCGTGGGATGGGCGGAGCGACCTTGCTGTTGGGTCGCAGGGGTCAGCCGTCACGGGCTACCTCTGGATGTAACCTGTTACGGATGATCTGCGCGTATGTCGGCGCGACCCTGGGGGGCAGCAGGCGGCGGGACCGTCGGTGGAGCTCCCTATGGGGCCACGAAACGTGTGAGGGGTGTGCCGAAAAGAGCGCGGTCACGCATGCGAGTCCTGCCACTGGAGCCCTCGGTGGAGCTCCCAATTGGGCCACGACACGTGAGGTGTGCGCCCAGATAGGCGTGGTCACGCATGCGAGTCCTGCCATTGAGGCCCTCGGTGGAGCTCCCTGTGGGGCCACGAGACGTGTGAGGAGTATGCGGAAATTGGCGCGGTCACGCCTGCGAGTCCTGGGGCCCTCGGTGGAGCCCCCCCAGGGGCCACGAAACGTGCGAGGTGTGCGCCGACATGGTGCGGAAAAGGTATGCGAACGCAGCCACTGGGGCCTTCGGTGGAGCTCTCTGGGGGGCTGCGAAACGTGTGAGGGGTGCGCCGAAACGGTGTGGAGGAGGCAGGGGAACGCAGCCACTGGGGCATACGGTGGAGCTCCCTACGGGGCCGCGAAACGCGTGAGGGGTGTGCCGACATGGACACGCGGAGAGCAGAGGCAGGGAGGGGAAGGAGGGAGGAGAGGGGGCGGGAGGGCGAAGGCGTTGCAAACGAGGTCCCAACTGAACGCACGACGGTTGGGAACCACGACCTCGGGGCTCTGCAAGGCTCCACCCAGCATCGCATTCGGCTCGCGCCGCCCCAGCTCCACGACGCCGTCCTCGCCGCCGCCTCACGTCGTTGCCACACGTCATGACCGCATGTCGTCGCCGCAAATCGTCGTCGCACGGCGTCATCGTCGTCGTCATCGTCGTCGCGGTCGTGGTTGTGATCTTGGTCGTGGTCGTGGTCTTCGTCGGTCGTCGTCGGTCGTCGTGGTCGTCGTCGTAGTCCTCGTCCTACTCGTCGTCGTGGTCGTGGTCGTGGTTGTGGTCGTGGTCGTGGTCGTTGTCGTGGTCGTCGTCGTCGTCGTCGTCGTATTCGTCATCGTCGTCGTCGGCGTCGTCGTCGTCATCCTCGTCGTCGTCCTCGTTGTAATTCGTCGTCGTCTCGTCGTCGTCGTGATCGTGGTCGTGGTCGTGGTCGCTGCCGTCGTCGTCGTCGTCGTTGTCGTCGTCGTCCTCCTCCTCCTCGTCGCGGGTCTTGTTGACTCTTCTGGCCCTCTGGTGCCAGGAGGCCTCTGGAGCTATGTGGCTCCCATCGCTCTTAAGGACCACATCCAAGAAATACTTTCGAGCACCCAGAACAATATCAAAACAGTGTCGAACGAGTATCGCCTCCCAGGGCCCGACACGTGAAAACCCTAAAGTTTCGGTACCTTCTTGGTGCTCGAAAATTCGTTCTGGCGATCAAAGCTAAAATGGGTTGGAACATCATATCTCTGGAGGCCTCGCAGGCCTCCGGAAACCTTTGGACACCTCCCACGCCGGTGGCAGTCGCGCCCTGGCTGGATACGCGCAGGAGGGGCCCTTGGCGAGCGTGATGGTGCGCGGCCCGAGGGAACCGCAGGGGGGCAGGCGGGGGTTGGGGGAGGGGGACGGGTTGGGGGAGAAGGAGGGGGAGGAGGAGGAGGAGGAGGAGGAGGGAGGAGGAGGAGGAGGAGGAGGAGGAGGAGGAGGAGGAGGAGGGGAGGAGAGGGGAGGAGGGGGAGGAGGAGGAGAGGAGGAGGGAGGAGGAGGAGGCGGAGGAGGAAGAGGAGGAGGAGGGGGAGGAGGAGGAGAAGGAGGAGGAGGAGGAGGCGGAGGAGGGGGGAGGAGGAGGCGGAGGAGGAGGAGGAGGAGGAGTAGGAGGAGGAGGAGGAGGAGGAGGAGAGGAGGGGGGGAGGAGGAGGAGGAGGAGGAGGAGGAGGAGGAGGAGGAGGAGGAGGAGGAGGAGGAGGAGGAGGAGGAGAGGGAGGAGGAGGAGGAGGAAGAGGGAGGAGGGGGGGAGGAGGAGGAGGAGGAGGAGGAGGAGGAGGAAGAGGAGGAGGAGGGCCAGGAGGACGAGGAGAAGGAGGAGGAGGAGGAGGACAAGGAGGAGGAGGATGACAGGGAGGATTTTTCCTCGGAGGCCCTCCAAGGCAGACCAGCAACTGTAACTTTACCTGTGTCGAGCCGCAGCGCAACCTCCTCGCGCTGGCGCGCGCGAGCCGCCAGTGCCTCCATTCCCGCTGCTGGGATGAGTCGCAGGCGAGGAGGCGGTGCCGACACGCGCCGCTGGTAGCAGCACGAACTTGGTCGAAGCAAGGCACGTCGTGCCCGTCCCGGCAGCCACCGTCTCTCCCGAGCTGTCGTGGGGGTAAAGGCCGCGCCGAATACGGGAGAGAGCTCCTCTGCCACACGGCCGTTGTTCACGTTTGCAACGAACCGCCATCTTGAAACATCGCTCACCCGTGTAGGCGCCACATTTGAAACAGAAAACGAACGGCTCGCACTGAGCGATCTGGCGAAAGATGGTGTGCAGAAGGTGGCCATGGGAGCTCGCCTCGTCGCGCACGCGGCATATGGCCGTCGGGGGTCCTTTGCACCCGTCCATCGGTCGACATGCATCATAGCAAACAGCGACACACAGACTGCAACGAAAAAACGGTCGGGACTTCAGAGTCGGTCCCAGGGTCCAGGCTGACCCAGTCGTGCCATCTCAGAGAACGGGGCCTAGGCACAGAAGCGCCCGGCACGGCCCCGCACAAACTCCAGTTTGGGAAAACACGAGAAAACGGCAAAATACATCGACACCAGCTTGCGGAGGAGGGCGACTTCAGAGCCGAACTGCGCGAGCTCCTCCGCAGGAAGGCTAGGGTGCAGGGTCATGGCATGCTTCGCCAATCGGTCTGCATCAGCACTGCCATGGGCTACCTTGCGCTCATGCGGGGGCAGTGCCTCGATAACTCCCACCGGCCTGTGAGCCTACACGTGGGCAGCCGAAGTGATACAGTCTTGCCCACCTTCGACAAGGGCGCGCCTGCGGAGGCCAGCGAACACTTGATGGGGGTCCATTTGCGAAGAGGCCCGAGAGGTGGCCAGGCGAACCGCTCCCAAACAGTCGCTGTGCACCTCATTGCGGCTCGTGACGAGGCAACTGATAATGGCGATGCCAAGGTGCTCGCCCGACTGAGCCGTCAGGGGCAATCCAGGCCAAACCGTCCCTAGGATCCTGGCGGGGGGTTCGTACACGTCCCCGGGGCCAGGAAAACAGCAGCGTACGTGGCCCTGTTCGCCGAACCATCCACCGCAATCTCACTGTCGAGAGTGCGGGCACAAAACTGCTCGCTCGTCAGCAGCTCACCCTTGGGCCTTTGCAGGACGGGATCGAGGTCGAGGCAAGGAGGAGGTGAAGACCTAGCCACTATCAGCCGAGACCCCCAAAAGAGTTTGGCTGGGTCGGCCGCGCGGGCTTGAACGATCTCCTCGTCCGACAGGTGCTCGCGCCTGGCAGCCGCGGGCTCAGGACGCTCGCAAAAAAAAAACGGCGATTCACCAGCGGGTCGGGCTGCAGGCGCAGTGGACACAGACCATCATGTACATCGCCAGAGGCCTGTCGTCTGTCTCCCGTCCAATATCCTCCCGAGAAACAAGCACACAGGTAATACTTCCCCCGAGGTGTGATCCGCTTCGTTTTAGGCATGCGTCGCAATGGATCCGGTGAAACGCGAGCAGCATCGAAATGCGGCAAAGCCTGCGCCATGCGAAGCTCATGGGATCTCTGGACTGCTTCCTCCAAGAGTTTACTGACAATGGCGGGGGAGGAGTACCACAAACCAATGATGTACCCCCGCTCGTCGTGCCAGCACTGCCAGCACGAAAGCCCCTGAGCTTACTAACCGATCCGATGTAGACTAAGTAACGCCCTATGGATGTATGGATGGAACATCGCGGTGATTACCAACCAGCAAAAGTGAGAACGAGCTCCTGGTGAGCGAACGACGAGCTGAGAGAGGCGCGCGTCTCTTGCCATCAGCGCAAGCGCGGCCCCGCGCCGCCGACGAGGCACGGAGGGAGACTGAGGGCACGGCGGGGGGCGGCGGCAGCTGCTGCGTTCTTGTTGTAGATGCTCGCCTGGTGGAAGGGCACCCTGATCTCGTTGGCGGAGTTCGGGTGGTCGTCGTCGTCGGGGTGGGCCCCCGTGTAGTGGAAGGTATTGGACGGCACTTCGATGCTCTCGTGCTGCGCACGCAAGTAGTTGTACGTCTTGAAGGCGACCGCGAGACGCGCGATCGCGTGGTCGATGTGCGCCAAGATGGAGCAGGAGGAGGAGCGGGAGATGGAGGAGGTG